TAATTATTATATATTATTTCCTTAGTAGTGAAAATTAAAATAACAATAGAAAAAAAAATAAAAATCTAGAGTAGAAATGTCCGTCCGGGGCCGCGGACATTTACAAAAATACACTAAAAATGACCAGTTTTGTCAGTCGTACTTTAACAAGAGCTGTGTCAGAGACAGGCGTGAAATAAGGAAATTTTTTGAGGGGGTTAGTTGGTTGGTTCACTCTTTATAGAATTTTATTAATCAAGGAATTCCTGTAAGACAACAAGCCAAAAAACAGATTACTACAAATAGGTTACAAATTGAAAAAAAATTGGAAAGGTGGAAACAAATACATAGGTACATGTTCATTTTATCTAAAGGAGTATTCGACTTAGTATAGTAGCTTGGTCCCTTGTTTCGCAATTATATTACAGAATAAACTTCAAGATATGGAATTCTTTTTTTTATTTTCATGATGTATAGTATAGTATAGTATTTCTAATTAAAATGATTATTATTGATAATTTTTAATATGAAGAAATGTAAGCCAATTTCCACCTACTCACATTCAAATCACATTTTCTTTCAAACAGAGTACGGTTTCTTTACTACATGAAAATTGACGGAGACATTTAATAAGGTACTATATAAAGAAAGATATTGTGAGCAGTAGCGTGAGATAAGATAAAAATAATAATATCAATTCTTGTTTTTTTTTTATTTCACAGATTATTCGTATTCTTCTAAACTTGGAGTGGGTGGGTTTTCTTTTCGTTCTTTTGGGTATTTTCGTCGCAGATTTTGCAATTTCTTTATCACGTTTTTATTTATTTGAAGCTATTACTGTTGAATCAAATGTCATAGTATTTTAAGCACTATACCAATTTTTTCTTTTATAATAGCATTCAAAGAGTACAAAAGAGCGAACGCTGGTTTGTTGCAAATACACACAGTAATTTATGCACTTACGGGGCATAGTTTGTAAGGGGTGAGCTGAGAAAAAAATGTAGACAGGAATGGATACGTGCACAAAAGTTGATAAAGCAAAAGAAGAAGAGGAACCCAGTTTCCAAACTCAAAATAAAGGTAATATATCTTTTACTTATTTCGAGTAAAAAAAATAATACTAACATCAATGTGTATTAATTGATATCATAACCGCTTACAGCTGAAACAGATTTTTTACGGGGGGGGGGATTGGGGGGGCAGATTTATCTCCGAAAAAGAAAGTGTCACCTCCCCCCTCTGATAATACCTTTCTGACAAACATATGTACTTGTATTTCTGATTTTCGCGCTAAATGCTGTAATACATTTTCTGATTTACTTATTGATAATTTAACAATGCATGGCGTGAACAAATACATAATAATACACTTGTTGTAGGAATAAAGAAACAATATCAGTATATTTCACACGGATTCTCTCTGTCTTCAAAATTTCACAAGATTCGGTGATGAGATCCAAACTTAATAATCCTATTTTTTGTTGCATTCTGTTAACACATTAGAAATAAAAAAATCCGAGTTTATATGAGCCCGTGGATAGAGTGTCATATTTCTTTGGATATTCAAGTCGTTAGTCTAGTCTAGTGTACATATGTAGTTGTTTAGCTTAAATGTGAAAAAATTGTCATTACTTTGCAATCGTTAGCGTTTTTTTTTTTTGTTTTTCGCCTGAAATTATTTAAATATGCATAAATATATACATCTACTACTATATTTATTCTCGTGCTCTTCTCATTGACAATGCTAAGGAAAATTGCAATTACATGTATATAAGATTTAAAACATGTCCCAAAAAATCATCAAACCGCAAGGTGTAAGATAAATGAAAATATTCATCGAAGTCTAGTGAGAACATTGTTTTAAAGGGCAAGATAGGGTAATAGCCGAATCTGGCCCCTTATTTGATATAAAAATCAGAACACTGGTAAAATTGTGATAGTTTGTAGTTAAGAAGTTATAATGAATCTTATATTAAGAAAATCACTAATTTTGATTCAAAGCTTACCTGGAAGCCACTAGATGCTGCAGAAATAGGACATTTTTCCAAATTTCCTAAATTCTGTGGAATTTCATCTTATTTGGGATACATTTCTTTTCGGAAAACATTAAGCACAACCTTGCCTATCTGAGATTTTAAGATATAAATTTCGTCTGATATCAGTGTATAAAATATATAAATTTGGTAGATAGACAAGCGTGTGCTATATGTTTTCCGAAAGAAAATGTGCTGTAAAAGTAATGAAAATTTGCATAAAAATGAGAAATTTCGAAAATTGACTTATATTCTGACCTCACTGTGACGCTTGTATATGCTAAATCTTAAAACCAACACTCATTTTGTGGCAGGGGTGGCAACAGGTTTTATGGGTAAACTGTTGGATCATTCTGAAAGACACCCAATATCGGGGGCCAAATACCAGTCTTACCCTATCTTGTCCTTTAAAGGATGAAAATGGTTGATTTTACTTTTCAAATACAAGATACTTGTTGCTTCATTTTATTTGATATTTGTGAAGATTAAAGGACACCATTTTCATAACACAGCTCCGCTTTTCGTCTATTGCAGTTATTTGATATTTTTAAACATATACTTAAGACATAAGAAAATCATATAATGTATTATTTAAGTATTTACGAAGGTTTAAAAATTGACGAGTAACCGGGGACCACGCAAAATGCTTATCTTTGACATGTTCTTTATATTATGTGTTATAGAATATTTTATGAATTGGAGTCATTGAATAGCGTATCTTTTAAGCGAAAGAATGAAAGGTTGTATGTCAAATAATCAATCTGCAAATTGGAGACTGGAAGATGCATTCTCATCATAAAATAATAGGTACCCCTTAGGTGAAATGCTAAGGTTTCAAAAAAAGGTTATCTTTATGAACGACATCTTTAGAAACAACTATTGTCCTGTGTCAGATGACAAAGATTATAGTAATCTTTCTCATTGTAAGTTGACCTCGTCGAGTTAGGTTCACTGATCCTTGTATATTTTCGACACATTTTACAACTGTCTACTCAACTGTAAATGCCCGATAAAGAAATGTCTAACAACTATTTAAAAAGAATGAAAAGAAAAAAAAATCTGACAATGCTGTTTTTTTTTTCAGCAAGTGGTCTGTGTTTGCGCTTTACTTTCAGTAGCTTTAAAAATACAGATAAACAATATTGTATTTTAATTATCAAACATAAAACAAATTGCAACAATGAAGAAATTTTCACTCATATTGAGACATCACTTGCCGGAGGAGAGCTACAAATTTCCTCGTATACTCGGCAATAAGGGCCATTGAGCAGCGCTATCATAGTAAATCAAAATAAAATTCATAAGGGAACCATACGTTTCTAAATCTAAGATTTTATATTCTGGTGAAATAGATATTTTAAAATACTGTTTACTTGATAAGCATAGGAATTCATAGATAAATTTACAACATGCTAACAACATGAATTTATTTATGTATAAGACTACTGCCTATCAATTAGTAATAAAATTTTAAAGAGGAATGTTCTTATTCATACATGTATCGAGTAAATATCTTTTATTTGTCTACTGTTGTTTATTTAGCAAATGGCAATTTTATATTGGATGTTTCATAGATTTAAGGTATTAGTATTTTAAATAAATTTTTGCTTCATTAGAAAAAAATGCAAAATACATTGGTGGATTTCTTTTTTACACAATTTCACTATCTGTACATGTATTTTAGTAAATAAGCACCACTCATCTATAAGGCAAACAGCTTTTTTTTATTTTTCAAAATTATATCATTGTCTATTGATACCATGGGTTATAATTTTTATGCGCCCGGATCGATAGATCCAGGGCGTATATTGTTTTTGTCCTGTCTATTTGTCTGTTTATCTGTTTGTCTCTACCAATTAGGTTCTTTCAAACGACACCAAGGTCAATGACCTTTTGACCCTGACTGTGACCAATATGCTAAAAATAGATTTTTTGAAATTTGTTGCTTGGCGCATAGTGTTTCATAAACACATCTTGTTCACAGGTGAAAAAAATAAAGTGAAAGAATCTCCCCATATCCATCACTGTAAAAGCTAAAAATAAATGTTAAATTATACCAGTTTCCTAATAAATTCGAGAATCTGTGTTAATTTAGAATTAAAGGGAATATTTGAAGTTGGGCTTATTGCATGCATCTGATATTTTACAATATTTTTAGCTTAGTAATCATACTGGTAACAGAACTAATATAAACTTACTTTCAGTATAACTGGGTCCATATTTCATAAACCATTTCATTTTGAACATTATATATATAGGAAATATACTCTGCAATAAACACACGCCTTATTTATAGTAAACCCTGTCTGCAATAGATGTCATTTTAATTCAATTTTGAAATTTTGTATGGACGTTTTTGGTGTATTCTATAGTGTAAATAATTGTATGTTTAAATGCAGAATTGACAATTAAAATATCAATTTAAATACCGGTTCTCTGATTTTAATTGTTTGTTTCTTAGCTATCAAGGGTTTGTGGAAAATGCAGTAAATGAAACATTATAGAATGCAAATGAAAAATATAGAATGCAAATGGAAGTTTATACAATATAAATGATTTTTTTACAATATAAATGGCAAGTTTAACCGCGCAGTTTTCTTCTTCTTTTTTTTTATTCAAAGTTATACCCATGTCAATTTTATCTATCAAATAAAACTTAGGGCGTAATAAAAATAACTTTATTTTGCATTTTCTTCATGATTCTAATAGAACATGATATTATTAATAATTTTCAATAAAAATAATATTGTTTGTGCACATAAAAACTATTTATTTCAGTGTATATGTGTAATCAGGTCAATCAGGGCATTATACTATCAGGGCATTATATCCCCCCCCCCCTTGAAAACGCACTTCTATGTGAATTTGGAATGTAAAAGTCATTGCATGGCATTAACTCTGAACGAGAGCCCCCCCCCCCCCCCCCTTTCCCAACGAAGTAGGATTTTCACGTTTGGGGAATTACCTAAAAAAAAATTTTTATTCACTTGTTAAGAAATTTCTGGGTTGGATGTTTTTTTGACTGGGGTGGACCCCCCTGGAAAAAAATCTGGATCCGCGCCTGTCTTAGAGCTGACTTCCTGTCGCTCGAATTTTTATCAAAATCGGAAATTCCCTATTTTCGTTTTGAGCAGGAAGCCATTTTAATCAAAGATCTGAGGATGGGAAGGTCTATAATACATTTACAGATCCATTGAGGAAATCATGACGCAATAAGACATCAGGTAATTTGGATAGACTCGTTATTTTAGATTTTACTGTTCATATTTTGTCTTGTACACCTTTTGCTCATAATTGAGAGACAATCTGACAAATCACATTTTCACGACACTTAAATTTTTGAAAGGCAGAGATTTTTTTCTACCGAGTGTTAAATTCCAGGCTAGGGCTCAGCAGGTTTATTCTGTACAGGCATGAAAACATTGATTGATAGCCAGTCTACCTGTGCCTTGTGGTCATCTGTCTCCTGATCACTATACGTGCGGGGAATTATTAGTTACATACTAACATAGTCTTTTAGTGACAGAGTATGATTTAATACACAGGTGTAAAACTTTACTTGCATGTGTCGGGTAATTTGAGACAATTTTAAATTAGTAAAAAGGTTTCTTGATTATATAGGCTATTGATTAAGTTATGAATGTTTGAAAACACCTTTACCATCAGGGTGTTGCTAAAACGCGGAACGGAAAACGGAACGGAACGGAAAACGGAAAATTAATGTCAAGCAAATAACCTAGATTTGATATAAATCACACATAAAAAGCAATATTCATTATATAAAAGGCACCTCTAATGAAAAATTATAGTAAAATACGATATATTCATTAACCTGATGCACCCCTCAGAACTGGCACATGTACATGGGATGGTCAATAAATTAATATAGTCTGTGAGATATATACTTACTAGACTAAAAATCCAGGGTATCCATCTGAAGGTTTCGTTCAAATTAATTTTTTTAAGAAAGCTCATTCATAAACGAAAAATATGAATAGGCGGAAGGAAAAAACTGCTAGTATGTACATACATGTTTCTGTAAACATTGGCGTCGGAAGCAAATTGAAAGAAGGGGGGGGGGGGGGCTAGGTGTAAAAAAATATATACCTTCAGGAAAACCTGACAAGCACAAAAAAAAGAGGATATGATGAACCTTTCCCAAACACGGAAATCCTATTTCGTTGGGGGGGGGGGGGGGGGGGGGGTTGGAGGTTCGAACTTCAATGGCAATTTTTTTTTCCCAAACACCATCACTTTCACAATTTTTAACCTATATTGCGACGTGTCTGTGGAAAGTGGGGGGGGCAAAAACTACAAAGCAATGTTCAATATCTATACTAGATACTAGTATATGTTTGGAATGAAAGTGGAATAAAAGTGGGGGGGGGGGCTAAGCCCCCCTTGCGCCACCCCCCCCCCCCCCCCCGGTTCCGACTCCTATGGTAAAGACAAAAAAAAAACACAAAAAAATGCACCCGTTTTGACATTCAGATTATTCATGCAGTGGCGTATCCAGGAATCTTGAAAGGGGGAGGGGGCAGTTTGGGGTCGGAATAGGTGCCCTCAGCAACACAAAAATTGATGTAATAAATTTCATGTATATTTTGTCTCCAAAAATAGGTTAAGGGGGGGGGGTGGGTCTTGGTCCCTCTAAATCAGTGACAAGATATCAATGCATATTGAGAAATTAAAATATGAACATAAGAAAAAAGTTCTTTCAAATGAATTTAACAAATGAATTTAACAGCATGTTCAATAGCTGCAGATCTGTTCTCTCCGAAAAAAAAAAACATATTGATAGACCGGAGAGCTACAGTTCCACCCATTGAAAAAACTGTATATATTTATTGCGCACAAAAAGTGCGCTCGGTTCTCGATTTATTTCTCCATGTTTTTAAACTGTGACAAAAACATTACCATGATTACTAACCTGTGTTCCGAGCATATTTTTTCGCTGTTTCCACAACCAAACATGGCATTCCTCATAATTGTTGTTAATTGTCCTCCTAACCCTGATATTGTAATCATAGAACATTTCGCTTATGTATACTGCCATTTTGGTTTCAAATATAATTCGGTCCAATATGCTTCGTTCAGATGTCAACTATGAGAGTACTTGATAGAGGAGATTGATTGATTGAATACTGTTTAACGTCCCTCTCCAGAATATTTCACTGATATGGAGACGTCACCATTGCCGGTGAAGGGCTGCAAATTTGGGCCTATGCTCGGCACTCAGGGCCATTGAGCAGGGAGGGATCTTTATCGTGCCACACCTGCTGTGACACGGGGCCTCGGTTTATACGGTCTCATCCGAAGGACTGCCCCATTTAGTCGCCTTTTACGACAAGCAAGGGGGTACTGAGGTGATAGAGGAGAAAGGAATGTTTAAGATCTTCCCTTTTTTTGCAATTGAGGTAAGAATTTGGAAGAATTAATCAAAAACCGAGCGCACTTTTTTTGTGCGCAATAAATATACAGTTTTTTTTCAATGGGTGGCTCTGTAGCTCTCCGGTCTATCAATATATTTTTTTCGGAGAGCTATGTACAGATCTGTAGCTACATGTTCAACTGTTTTCTTTAGTTGCAACTTTTCAGATATGAGACGAAAAACAGGGAATCTGAAAATGTTTACGGGGTCATTCATACCCAACCCTCACCTCCAAACACACTTTAATTTCATTGACTGTACAGATGATACATAAATTTTGCCACAGTTAAGATTTATGACTCTATCTATTTATCCAGGATTTTAATAGATAGAAAGCAGCTCTATTTTATACAAATTTTTAACAAGTTTGCACTCGAGGTGCTTATCCGAAAGGGGTACTCTAACAGTAATCTTAAGATATTTTTTTAGATGTTTATTTCTCTTACCAATTTAACATGATTCATTTAGATATCAAATGTTTGCCTCCCCCTCCCCGTTTTTTTTTCAGACATAAGGTTTTCATTATAGAATCGTTCATTGAAACTCCCAACACTTTCTGTTAAATTAACGTATTAAGTTAGTGTAAAAATAAGTACTGAAAGAATTTGAGTCGAAATTTAACCCCCCCCCCCTTTCGAATAGAACAATTGTTTTCTTTTTTCGCTTGTCCAGTTCTTTTCAGGTACTAGTAAATTGATTGTTTCTTCTCCGACACCCCCCCTTTCGTCACTGCTATGTCAGTGGTTTTCGTGAATAAGAGACTTAACATGACTATAATCAACTTGCATTTACTAATGTGGGATTAAATATGCATAAATTTACCGTTTCTGATAAAATTTGTGTATTTTAGATTATTTAATCTGAATTATATTTTCCGTTTTCCGTTCCGTTCCGTTTTCCGTTCCGTTTTCCGTTCCGCGTTTTAGCAACACCCTTACCATCATGCTTACCCATGTAAAAAATATGATGTCATACTATAAATTCAAATATTAAAAAGAAAATTTTATTTGTCAGTGTACGAGGGGTGATCAAAAATTTTGCAAACTATCTCTATATATAGAAAACCACAATTCAGATTAGAATGAAAATCAGTACACACATAGCCATACACAAGTTCTATAAATAGTTTATGCTGAATAAAGTTTCTCTCCTTGTTTGTGACGTCACAATGTTAAAATGACGTCACTATTAAGGTCACTTGTGACGAAAAATGGTTGTCTCAGTCGAATTCGTTCAACAAACGACTGTACAATTTATTGTATATCTTTGAAATCCCTCTACAGTATCATTTAATAATTTGTAGACAGTTTATTGAGATAAATTAATTCCTATAAATTCAATTAATGATTGGATAAATCGTTTTAGTGAAGGAAGGCTGATGGTTAAAAATGATACTTGTCATCTTGCCCAGTGAAAGCAAGTTTGAAAAGATATGTATTTTTAATTTAGCAATTTGCAATCAAAGACCTCCAATTAGCACTTTGAATCAAAGTACCTAAAGCACTCGTGGGAGTTGAACGTGGTGTTAATTACAGTGAAAACTGTCTAATCCGAAACCTGAATAATCCGACACACTGTGGATTCCGACATTTAACTTCTTTTCCATTATAGTATTTTCCTTGATTTTACCACTGTGCAATCCGACATACTGTCTATTCCGACACAAAATTTATCTCCCAGCGCATGTCGGATTAGACAGGTTTCACTGTAAAATCTTTGATCGGGAGATTAAGTGAGTGAACAATATTATTATATCAAATACAGACAACTGTATCAGATTTTTTGAGTTGCAAAAATCTTGAGAAAGACATTTAGAGACATTGAATAGCAAAAAAATACAGGGGCCATATTGTTGCCTTCCTACATTAGTCCTTTTTTATACTGTTTCCTGCTTGAAAAGCGGGAGGGTATTTATTAAATTCTAGATTTTCGTTTATCTGTTTGTAACGCTTTAGGTATGCACATCTCTGATACGCAACTCCTCTTACACTACAGGACAAAATTTTCATAGAATCTTTATCACATATTGCCGTTGTGCACCTTCTATTACTTTTCCATCCTACACATATTTTGGGTTTCCCATTGCAGAACACGGACACTGCCATTATATTCATATTAGAGGCGGATGATCATTTATAAAATTCACTACTCACAGTCTTTAAATTTGTAAGATATTTTTCCTTGGCACCTTTACCCATGTGTTAGGAAAATTTCAGTTTCGCAGGAATAATATCAATGTTGATAAAATGTGGATTTTAAGGAATTTCCACCCTCACGATTTTATAGGTTAAAAGTACAATAAATGCATTTTCATTCAATTTACTTTAAACTTTCCATTTATTGCAAAAAATGTATTGGTCACCTTATTATTTAAGATTCAAAACACAAATAAACAGAAGTGTATGTCAACATAAAAAATTGTATATATTTTTTAAACAGTATTGATAAAAATATGTAAAAGCTGGTTAAAATGCATATTTCATTAATATTATATAAATGGTGCCTGTTTTGTAGGGTAACATTTGAAATTGACACCCCAAGGAAAACCATTAACAACCGACGCGTCAGCGGAGGTTGACAATGGTTTTCCGAGGGGTGTCAATTTCAAATGTTACCCTCCAAAACAGGCACTATTTATTTTATTATACTGAATGTCTTATTGATTACGGACGTCAGCAAAAAAAAAAAAAGTCGATCGTCTTTACGTTCATGTATAGAAAGATTTCACACTCACTGGTTCACTAATCTCCTTATTGTTTGTTTGATACTCGAATTCGAGTCATTTATCATATA